ACCCACCCAATTACACACTCACTCAGCCATCCACTAACTCACTCAACCACTCACTAAAGCATTCACTAGCGCACTCACCTGACCACTCACTCACAAACTCACCCACTCACACATTCACCCATTCACTCATTCAACCACTCACCCACCCAATTACACACTCATTCAGCCATCCACTAACTCACTCAACTACTCACTAAAGCATTCACTAGCGCACTCACCTAACCACTCACTCACAAACTCACCCACTCACACATTCACCCATTCACTCATTCAACCACTCACCCACCCAATTACACACTCATTCAGCCATCCACTCATTCAACCACTCACCCATCCAATTACACACTCACTCAGCCATCCACTAACTCACTCAACCACTCACTAAAGCATTCACTAGCACACTCACCTAACCACTCACTCACAAACTCACCCACTCACACATTCACCCATTCACTCATTCAACCAACTCCCACCCAATTACACACTCACTCAGCCATCCACTAACTCACTCAACCACTCACTAAAGCATTCACTAGCACACTCAACTAACCACTCACTCACAAACTCACCCACTCACACATTCACCCATTCACTCATTCATCCATTCACCCACCCAATTACACACTCACTCAGCCATCCACTAACTCACTCAACCACTCACTAAAGCATTCACTAGCGCACTCACCTAACCACTCACTCACAAACTCACCCACTCACACATTCACCCATTCACTCATTCATCCACTCACCCACCCAATTACACACTCACTCAGCCATCCACTAACTCACTCAACCACTCACTAAAGCATTCACTAGCGCACTCACCTGACCACTCACTCACAAACTCACCCACTCACACATTCACCCATTCACTCATTCAACCACTCACCCACCCAATTACACACTCATTCAGCCATCCACTAACTCACTCAACCACTCACTAAAGCATTCACTAGCGCACTCACCTAACCACTCACTCACAAACTCACCCACTCACACATTCACCCATTCACTCATTCAACCACTCACCCACCCAATTACACACTCATTCAGCCATCCACTAACTCACTCAACCACTCACTAAAGCATTCACTAGCACACTCAACTAACCACTCACTCACAAACTCACCCACTCACACATTCACCCATTCATCCATTCACCCACTCAATTACACACTCACTCAGCCATCCACTAACTCACTCAACCACTCACTAAAGCATTCACTAGCGCACTCACCTAACCACTCACTCACAAACTCACCCACTTACACATTCACCCATTCACTCATTCATCCACTCACCCACCCAATTACACACTCACTCAGCCATCCACTAACTCACTCAACCACTCACTAAAGCATTTACTAGCGCACTCACCTGACCACTCACTCACAAACTCACCCACTCACACATTCACCCATTCACTCATTCAACCACTCACCCACCCAATTACACACTCATTCAGCCATCCACTAACTCACTCAACCACTCACTAAAGCATTCACTAGCGCACTCACCTAACCACTCACTCACAAACTCACCCACTCACACATTCACCCATTCACTCATTCAACCACTCACCCACCCAATTACACACTCATTCAGCCATCCACTAACTCACTCAACCACTCACTAAAGCATTTACTAGCGCACTCACCTAACCACTCACTCACAAACTCACCCACTCACACATTCACCCATTCACTCATTCAACCACTCACCTACCCAATTACACACTCACTCAGCCATCCACTAACTCACTCAACCACTCACTAAAGCATTCACTAGCGCACTCACCTAACCACTCACTCACAAACTCACCCACTCACACATTCACCCATTCACTCATTCAACCACTCACCCACACAATTACACACTCACTCAGCCATCCACTAACTCACTCAACCACTCACTAAAGCATTCACTAGCGCACTCACCTAACCACTCACTCAAAAACTCACCCACTCACACATTCACCCATTCACTCATTCATCCACTCACCCACCCACTAAATAGCTCACTCACCCACTAGACCAGTCACTCACCCACTCAATAGCCCACTCATTCATCCACTCGCTCCCTCACCCGGTCACCCACTCACTCATCCACACAAACACCCACCCACTCACTCACGCACTCACTCATTCAACCACTCACCCACCCACCAACTCATTAATTCAACCACTCACGCACTCACTCACTCACCAACCCACTCACCTACTCACCAGACCAATCACTCCCCCACTCAATAGTCCACTCATTCAGCAACTCACTCATTCAACCACTCATTCATCCACTCACTCACTCACCCACTCAATAGCCCACTCATTCATCCACTCACTTACCCACTCAACAGCCTACTTCTTCACCCACTCAATCAACCACCTAATATGCACTGGATTACGTCCTCCCGCTCTTCATAGAGCAGGAAGGCCATGTGGCCGGAGCTCAGTGCATCGTGGTACTCCTCCTTGGCCTGAGAACACGATGGCATTCACTCACTCACCGGGTCATCCATTAACTCATCGACCCACCCACTCACTCATTCACTCGCCCACTCACTCGCTCACTCACTCACTAGCCAACCCACCCACTCACTAACTCATCCACTCACTAGCCCACTCAATCACCCACCCAATTACTCGCTCATCCACCAACTCACTCATCCATTAATTCAACCACTCAGCCATTAATTCAACCACTCAATCACCTGCTCACTCATTCATCCACTCACCCACTCATGAATCCACTCACCCACTCATTCATCCACTCACGCACTCACGAGCCCACTATGCCACTCATTAAACCACTCACTCACCAACCCATTTACCAACATACTCACTTGTTTATCTAGCAACCCACTTACATGTTTACTAATTTAACGACTCACACACCCACTCGTTTACTCATTCAAGCACACACGCACTAGCCCAAAAACACAACCACTCACCCACGCACTCACTCATTCAGGCACCCACTCATCCACCTACTCACTAGCCCACTATCAAAACTAATCACCCATCCACACACTCAATTATTCAACCACTAATTCATCCACTCACTCACCCACTAAAACAGCTTCTCATGCATCTACTCACCTGTTCACTCATTTAACCACTCCATCCACTGAATCACCAGCTCGCTCAATCATTCAACCACTCATTCATCCACTCACTTAGACACTCATTCAACCACTAACCCACCTACCCACCCTCATACACCCACTCGTTTACTAATTCAACCACTCACCCACTCACCCGCTTATCCACCCACCCACTCAGCCACCCACCCACTCAGCCACCCACTCACCCACCCATTCACCCACTCATTCACCCACCCACTCTCCCACCCATTCACCTACTCACCGACCCACTCACCCACTCACTCACTCATCCACCCACCCACTTATCCACCCACCCACCCATTCACCCACCCAAAGGCAAAGATCCACTGTCTACCCCTTACAGACTTTTGGGGCAAGTGCTGTTAGTGAACACCTATGAAGGCGGCACGGCACACGCCCGGCCACCTTTGTACTCACTTGAGGCTGAGTCGACCTAGGGGAGGCCCAGGACTGGTTCAGATAATCGTCACTGGTATTGGCTGTGATTGGGAATCGAACCTGGGCCGCCAGGTTCGGAGCACAGTGTAGCGATAACTGCTACACTACCGCTCCCCACCCATTCACCCACTCATCCACTCACCCACCCACTCACTCACTCGCTCACTCACACACCCATTCACCCACCCACTCACCCACCCATTCACCCACCCATTCACCCACTCACCCACCCATTAAACCACTCACCCACCCACTCACCCACCCATTCACCTACTCACCCACTCACCCACCCATTAAACCACCCACTCACTCACCCACCCATTCACCCACCCACTCACCCACCCATTCACCCACTCACCCACCCATTAAACCACTCACCCACCCACTCACCCACTCACTCACCCACTCACCCACCCATTAAACCACTCACTCACCCACTCACCCACCCATTAAACCACCCACCCACTCACCCACCCAATCACCAACCCACATACCCATCCATTCACCCACTCACCCACTCACCCACCCATTAAACCACTCCACCCACTCACTCACCCACTCACTCACCCACTCACCCACCCATTAAACCATTCACCCACCCACTCACTCACCCATTCACCCACCCACTTACCCATCCATTCACCCACTCACCCACTCACCCACCCATTAAACCACTCACTTACCCACTCACCCACCCATTCACCTACTCACCCCCCACTCACCCACTCACCCACTCACTCACCCACCCACCCACTCACCCACCCACCCACTCACCCACCCACCCACTCACCCACCCACCCACCCACTCACCCACCCACTCACCCACTCACCCACCCATTAAACCACCCACCCACTCACCCACCCACTCACCCACTCACCCACCCATTAAACCACTCACTCACCCACTCACCCACCCATTAAACCACCCACCCACTCACCCACCCATTCACCCACCCGCATACCCATCCATTCACCCACTCACCCACTCACCCACCCATTAAACCACTCACCCACTCACTCACCCACTCACTCACCCACTCACCCACCCATTAAACCATTCACCCACCCACTCACTCACCCATTCACCCACCCACTTACCCATCCATTCACCCACTCACCCACGCACCCACACATTAAACCACTCACTTACCCACTCACCCACCCATTCACCTACTCACCCACCCACTCACCCACTCACTCACCCACCCACTCACCCACCCACCCACTCACCCACCCACTCACCCACCCACTCACCCACCCACCCACCCACTCACCCACCCACTCACCCACTCACCCACCCATTAAACCACCCACCCACCCACTCACCCACTCACCCACCCATTAAACCACTCACCCACCCACTCACCCACCCATTAACCCACTCACCCACCCACCCACCCACTCACTCACCCACCCACCCACCCACCAACCCACCCACCATCTCCTTCTCCTTAATGACGGCGTCAATGTGTCGCCCGTTGAGGCTGGCGCTGAACGCGTGCACCGCCGAGTCGTCGTCCAGCGGGAAGAGGAAGGAGGCCTCCACGGGGAAGGCCTCGGCGTTGAGGTAGCTGAGCGTGGCGCGCACGGAGGCCACGAAGCCCTGCACGCTCGCCTCCACCGACACGGCCTTCAGCGGCACCGCTGGTGAGGAGAGGTCAGGTGAGGTCAGGTGAGGTCAGGTGAGTTGGTTAGGTGAGGTGAGGTCGGGTGAGGTGAGGTGAGGTCAGGTGATGTCACGTGAGTTCAGGTGAGTTGGGGTGAGGTGAGGTCAAGCGATTGGAGGTGAGGTTGTGGCGACAACTCACGCCCACTTAGTCACTGGCCCCACCCACTTACGGCATAGCCACGCCCACTCAGCCGCGAGCCCCGCCCATTGCTGCCCACACACTAACACGCAACAAAGACATCTATAATATAGTTGGTTTTTTTTTTTGGGGGGGGGGGGGGTTAAATCACGTAAATATAAATGTGTTGTTAAACAAGCCACCACCCGACACAGCCAATAAGTAAGGTTTGTCACATAAATAGAGCATGCCAATTCGTTACTGGAATGGCACAACGGTGTGTTGGAGAGTCAATCCACAACATTTACAATCTGAGTACGACGTTTCGCCAGTAATTACAACCGGAATCATCAGGCGACAGCCAGATTTGTGGAGAAATCTTCCTCCTTAAATAGAGGGATAGATTAACACGTAGCCTTTCACGATCAATTTTTATCCATAATACAGGATGCTTTGGGTTTCGATCGCGTGAAAATATAAATGTGTCGTGAAAACCCGACACAGCCAACTAGTGTAAGGGTTGTCACGTGAACAGAACATGCCAATTCGTCACTCGTACAGCACACCGGTGTGTTTTGAATGCCAAAACGAAATAAAATAACACGAGCATTGAAACTGCCCAAGTAATTAAAACAATAAAAAAAACCGAACATTGTGGGAGTAAATTTTGATTTAAAGCTTTCGTGACTGCAGTAATTCATATTCTTAGCTCTTTCGGTAAAGTCACGTTGAAGGGAAACAATAAAATAATAAAATATATATAAAACAATAAAAATTCTCACGACGTTTCGACCGTTTGTGTTATGGTCGAAACGTCGTGAGAATTTTTATTTTTTATATATTGTATTATTTTATTGTTTCCCTTCGACGTGACTTTACCGAAAGAGCTAAGAATATTGTGGGAGTAACTGATAAACTAGCCAGATGTTTGTAAAAACAAAATATCTGAGTCAGATTTGGCACGGTACATAAAATACAGAAATTATTCTCTGGTACAAAAGATGTATTACCGAAGCTATCAACAGAAGGTGTGTACAGGATTAACTGCACTTGTGGCAAATGTTATGTTGGGCAAATAGGACGAATGATCAGCACGTAACTAAAAGAACATCAGAGAAATATTAAATACTCCCAAATATATTTGTCAGCAGTAGCAGAACACGTGTGTCAACCAGGACACTGAATTGATTGTGATAATGTTGAAGTTATGTGCAAAACTAGCTACTACTGGCCAAGACTAGTTAGATGATCTATCGAAATTGAAAGAAATAAAAATAATTTTAACCGTACGGATAGCTACCGACTTAGTGCTGCGTGTAAGCGAATCGTCAAATAATACATCGTTTAAATACATGCCGATACAGGCCACCATACTTTAATAGGGATTACTGTTGGTAAGCCACTTTAATACACACAATGAACAGGAAGGACAAGATCAAAGGGCTCGCATAATGCGCATGTACAATTACGTTGACTCATTAATCCTCCCCCACCACATTGGGCAAGAGCGCAGAAATGTGGTCACCACATCTACGCCTCCTCTATATAAGGAACGAAACAGCTGGACTTCCCCACGAATCTGGCTGTAGCCTGATGGAGCTGGTTATAATTACCGGCAAAACGTCGTACTCAGATTGTAAGTGCTGTGGCTTGGCTCTCCAACACACCGGTTAGTGCTGTACTAGTGACGAATTGGCCACGTTCTGTTTACGTGACAAACCCTCACTAGTCGGCTGTGGGATAGATGTGATGGCGTCACTTCTGAGCTCTTCTTGTGTAAAGGCCAGAGAGAGAGAGTGGGGGTTAATAAATGCAGATCAATTACATTGGGTATCCATTGTTACTTTATGCATGCACAAACCCACGCGTTTAAAAAGACGAAGATCCTCGCGTATATCCTTAACAGACTGTTGGGGCAAGTGCTGTTAGTGAGTAGTGGCAGCAGCTATAAAGGCCGGCGCTGTGGCACACGAGGGGGTGGGTGGCCAAGAACCACTCTCGGCCGCCTTTGTGTCCCCAGTGGCGATGTTTACACGACGCACCAGGTACTCATTTGAGGCTGAGTCGACCTACGGGATGCCCAGGACCTTTTCAAATGATCGTCACTGATGAGGGCTGTGAGCAGGAATCGAACTCGGGTGGCCGTGTTTATAGTGCAGCGTAGTGCTAACCGCTACGTTACCACTCTACACATATACATGTAAATACACACACGAGTACACACATGCACACGTGAACATACACACACACATCGTGAGTACACACACACACTCATCTTGAGTATATACACACACTGATCCTGAGTACACACACACTCATCCTGAGTACACACACACACACTCAACTTTAGTACACACACACACACCGTTAGTACACACACACACACTCATCCTGAGTAGACACACACACTCATCCTGAGTACACACACACACACTCATCCTGAGTACACACACAGTCATCATGAGTACACACACACACACACTCAAGTTTAGTACACACACACACCGTTAGTACACACACACACACTCATCCTGAGTACACACACACTCATCCTGAGCACACACACACACTCATCCTGAGTACACGCACACACACACACTCATCATGAGTACACACACACTCATTCCTGAGTACACAAAAACACATCGTGAGTACACACACACTCATCCTGAGTACACACACACTCATGCTGAGTACACACACACACTCATGCTGAGTACACACACACTCATCCCTGAGTACACACACACTCATCATGAGTACACACACACTCATCCTGAGTACACACACACACTCATCCTGAGTACACACACACTCATCATGAGTACACACACACACACTCATCCTGAGTACACAGCCACACATCCTGAGTACACACACACACACACATCCTGAGTACACACACACTCACCCTGAGTACACACACACACTCATCCTGAGTACACACACACACTCATCCTGTGTACACACACTCACCCTGAGTACACACACACACTCACCTTGGGTATACACACACACTCATCCTGAGCGCACGCACACTCAACCTGAGTACACACACTCATGCTGAATATACAAACACCCATCGTGAGTACACACACACTCATCCTTAGTACACACACACTCATCCCGAGTACACACACACACTCACCCTGAGTACACACACACACTCATCCTGAGTACACACACACACATCGTGAGTACACACACACACTCATCATGAGTACACACACACATCCTGAGTACACACACACACACATCCTGAGTACACACACACACACATCGTGAGTACACACACACACTCATCATGAGTACACACACACACTCATCCTGAGTACACATACACTCATCCTGAGTACACACACACACACATCCTGAGTACACACACACACACACATCGTGAGTACACACACACACACATCCTGAGTACACACACACACACACTCATCCCGAGTACACACACACACATCCTGAGTACACACACACTCATCCTGAGTACACACACACACACACTCATCCCGAGTACACACACACACACATCCTGAGTACACACACACACATGCTGAGTACACACACACATCCTGAGTACACACACACTCATCCTGAGTACACACACACACTCATCCTGAGTACACAGCCACACATCCTGAGTACACACACACACTCACCCTGAGTACACACACACACACATCCTGAGTACACACACACACATCCTGAGTACACACATACACTCATCCTGAGTACGCACACTCACCCTGAGTACACACACACACTCATCCTGAGTACACACACACACACACTCACCCTGAGTACACACACTCACCCTGAGTACACACACACACACTCACCCTGAGTACACACACACACACTCATCCTGAGTACGCACACTCACCCTGAGTACACACACACACTCATCCTGAGTACACACACACACACTCACCCTGAGTACACACACACACTCATCCTGAGTACACACACTCACCCTGAGTACACACACGTGTACACACACACACGTGTATACACACACACACACGTGTGTACACCCAGACACTCACCTTTCTCTTGATACTCATGAACGAAGATGAGTCCACGATGCATGATTGCAGATGGAGATTCCTGCGTGTGTGTGTGGAGGGGGGAGAGAAACAGCGTTGGGAGGGCAACTCACTGGCACATACTAAGCTGAAAACTAAATGATTATTTTATTTTAACCAGGTAACGTCCCACTGAGCTGCTACGTCGCTCTTTTTCAGAAGCTCTGACCTGGCCACTACAAATGATATCAGCTCAACCAAGTCGTCTGACATCGACATCATGAGTAAATTACAGACGCATAGAGACCCATGTAGATCAAAGAGCTACATAGAGACCCACAGAGATACATAGAGACCCACAGATATACACAGAGACACTATAGAGACACATAAAGACACAGAGTTACATGGAAATACATCTAAAGACAGACACAGAGAGTTACATGCAGACCCACAGATATACATAGAGACGTATGAATACACGTAGAGAGACATAGGGACACACAGAGAGACACAGAGACACATGGAGAGAGACATAGGGACAGACAGAGAGATATTGAGATACATGGGGACATACTGTGATACATATAGACAGGCAGAGACACGGAGACGCATAGAGACCCATAGAGACACTTAGAGACCCACAGAGATACACAGACACACACCGAGATACATAGAGACACAAAGAGATTCGTAGAGACACAGAGCCACACAGAAATGCATAGAGACACACAGAGATATGCAGACACACATGAAGATACATATAAACACGTAGAAACATAGAGACCCACAGAGATACATAGAGGCGCATAGAGATACGTAGACATATATAGTGACACAGAGATGCACAGTCACGCAGACACACAGACACACAGAGATATGCAGACACACATGAAGATACATATAAACACATAGAGAGAATGAGACCAACAGATATACGTAAAGACCCACAGAGATTATACATAGAGACTCTCTAAGATACATAGAGACACAGAGCTACATAGAGACACTATAAGATACAGAGAGACACAGAGCTGCATAGAGACACATGGGGAGGCATTGTGACAGATACTCATAGGGACCCACAGACTGAACTTAAAAACTCAACTCAATTGTTACCAGATGAGGCCCCACTGAACAGCTTAAGTGCCTCTTTAGTGACAAGCGACGAGGCCACACCTCATGCCAGCTGCTCCACGCAGTGGCTTATCGTCATCATCGTCATCATCGTCACGTGGGAATGTAGAACAACAGCAGCAGCAGCAAAATTAAATAACCGTGGACGTTGATTCTTAACGTAGCGGGGGGGGGTGTTGAAACCGCAGTGACCACCACAGGGAAAGAGAGAGAGAGATAGACTCAGACTCCAAATATACAGCAGCAGCAGCAGGCGTCGTCAGGGTCGGGATCGAACCCACGACCTCCTGTATACCGGGCGAGGTAGTTAACATCTCAACTATACACACACAGAGAGACAGAGACCCCCCCCCCCCCCGTGTAGCCTCTGACAGACTGTATGGGCAAGTGCTGTTAGTAGCGAGTAGCAGCGCCTGTACACACAGAGACAAAGATGCCCCGTATAGCCTGCCACATGCTGTTAGGACAAGTGCTCAGTAGCACCTATGAAGGCCGGCACTCTGGCACACGGGAAGGTGGGTGGCCACACCACGCCCGGCCACCTTTGTCTCCCCCAGCGATGATGTTTACTAAAACAAAACTGCACCAGGTACTCATTTGAGGCCGAGTCGACCTAGGGGAGGCTCAGGACCAGTTGGTCAGATATCCGTCACTGGTGTCGGTGTTGGCCCATGAGAAAATGAAATCGAACCTGGATCTGTGCACGGTTCGTAGCGATAGCGTTGAGCTAACCGCTGCGCCACCACTCCCTGTGCCTTGACAAAGATCTCGCGGGTAGCCTCTGACAGACTGTTGGGGCAAGTGCTGTTAGTAGCTAGCAGCAAGCCAACACACCCCCTCTGTGTGTTCCACAGTGGCGGGGTACAGAGGCGCTGCTGTTACTCACTGCGACTAACAGCACTTGCCGCTACAGTCTGTTACAGGCTACACGGGGGATCTTTATCTTTGGTGGTGGTGGTGGTGGTAAGCAAATTTTGCCCCGTGAGAACTCGTTCACCCGTTATGACCTGCCCATAGACTAACACTACCCATAGACTAACACTACCCATAGACTAACACTGCCACAGACTAACACTGGACCCATAGACTAACACTGCCCATAGACTAACACTGGACCCATAGACTAACACTCCCCATAGACTAACACTGCCCATAGACTAACACTGCCCATAGACTCAACACTGCCCATAGACTAACACTGCCCATAGACTCAACACTGCCCATAGACTAACACTGCCCATAGACTAACACTGCCCATAGACTAACACTACCCATAGACTAACACTGCACCCATAGACTAACACTGCCCGTAGACTAACACTACCCATAGACTAACACTGCCCATAGACTAACACTGCACCCATAGAATAACACTGCCCATAGACTAACACTGCCCATAGACTAACACTGCCCATAGACTAACACTGCACCCATAGACTAACACTGCCCATAGACTAACATTGCCCATAGACGAACACTGCTCATAGACTAACACTACCCATAGACTAACACTACCCAGAGACTAACACTGAACCCATAGACTAACACTGCCCATAGACTAACACTGCCCATAGACTAACACTGCCCATAGACTAACACTACCCATAGACTAACATTGCCCATAGACTAACACTGCCCATAGACTAACACTACCCATAGACTAACACTACCCGTAGATTAATACTACCCATAGACTGACACTGGACCCATAGACTAACACTGCTCATAGACTAACACTGGACCCATAGACTAACCCTGCCCACAGACTAACACTGCCCATACACTAACACTGCCCATAGACTGACACTGGACCCATAGACTAACACTGCCCATACACTAACACTGCCCATAGACTAACACTGCCCATAGACTAACACTGCCCATAGACTAACACTACCCATAGACTAACACTACCCAGAGACTAACACTGAACCCATAGACTAATACTGCCCATAGACTAACACTACCCATAGACTAACACTGCCCATAGACTAACACTGCCCATAGACTAACACTGCCCATAGACTAACACTGCCCATAGACTAACACTGCCCATAGACTAACACTGCCCATAGACTAACACTGGACCCATAGACTAACACTGCACCCATAGACTAACACTGCCCATAGACTAACACTGCACCCATAGACTAACACTGGACCCATAGACTAACACTGGACCCATAGACTAACACTGGACCCATAGACTAACACTACCCATAGACTAACACTGCCCATAGACTAACACTGCCCATAGACTAACACTGAACATAGACTAACACTGCACCAATAGACTAACACTGCCCATAGACTAACACTGCACCCATAGACTAACACTGGACCCGTAGACTAACACTGCTCATAGACTAACACTGCCCATAGTCTAACACTGCACCCATAGACTAACACTGCCCATAGACTAACACTGCCCATACACTAACACTACCCATAGACTAACACTGCTCATAGACTAACACTGCCCATAGTCTAACACTGCACCCATAGACTAACACTGCCCATAGACTAACACTGCCCATACACTAACACTACCCATAGACTAACACTGGACCCATAGACTAACATTGCCCATAGACTAACACTACCCATAGACTAACATTGCCCATAGACTAACACTACCCATAGACTAACACTGCCCATAGACTAACACTGCCCATAGACTAACACTGGAGCCATAGACTAACACTGCCCATAGACTAACACTGCCCATACACTAACACTACCCATAGACTAACACTGGACCCATAGACTAACATTGCCCATAGACTAACACTGCCCATAGACTAACACTGCCCATAGACTAACACTGCCCATAGACTAACACTACCCATAGACTAACACTACCCATAGACTAACACCGCCCATAGACTAACATTGCCCATAGACTAACACTACCCATAGACTAACACTGCCCATAGACTAACACTGGACCCATAGACTAACATTGCCCATAGACTAACACTGCCCATAGACTAACACTGCCCATAGACTAACACTGCCCATAGACTAACATTGCCCATAGACTAACATTGCCCATAGATTAACACTACCCATAGACTAACACTGCCCATAGACTAACACTGCCCATAGACTAACACTGCCCATACACTAACACTGCATCCATAGACTAACACTGGACCCATAGACTAACACTGCCCATAGACTAACACTACCCATAGACTAACACTGCCCATAGTCTAACACTGCACCCATAGACTAACACTGCCCATAGACTAACACTGGACCCATAGACTAACATTGGCCATAGACTAACACAGGACCCATAGACTAACACTACCCATAGACTAACACTGCCCATAGACTAACACTGGACCCATAGACTAACACTGCCCATAAACTAACACTGCCCATAGACTAACACTGCCCATAGACTAACACTGCCCAAACACTAACACTGCCCATAGACTAACACTGCCCATAGAATAACACTGCCCATAGACTAACACTGCCCATAGACTAACACTGCCCTTAGACTAACACTGCCCATAGACTAACACTGCCCATAGACTAACACTGCCCATAGACTAACACTGCCCATAGACTAACACTGGACCCATAGACTAACACTGCACCCATAGACTAACACTGCCCATAGACTAACACTGCACCCATAGACTAACACTGGACCCATAGACTAACACTGGACCCATAGACTAACACTGGACCCATAGACTAACACTACCCATAGACTAACACTGCCCATAGACTAACACTGCCCATAGACTAACACTGAACATAGACTAACACTGCACCAATAGACTAACACTGCCCATAGACTAACACTGCACCCATAGACTAACACTGGACCCGTAGACTAACACTGCTCATAGACTAACACTGCCCATAGTCTAACACTGCACCCATAGACTAACACTGCCCATAGACTAACACTGCCCATACACTAACACTACCCATAGACTAACACTGCTCATAGACTAACACTGCCCATAGTCTAACACTGCACCCATAGACTAACACTGCCCATAGACTAACACTGCCCATACACTAACACTACCCATAGACTAACACTGGACCCATAGACTAACATTGCCCATAGACTAACACTACCCATAGACTAACATTGCCCATAGACTAACACTACCCATAGACTAACACTGCCCATAGACTAACACTGCCCATAGACTAACACTGGAG